CATGCTGTCTTCCCGCAACTTTGAAATTTATAATAAGTTGTGTGATTGATATGTTTGCTGGGAGGAGAAATCTTTTACAGACATTCATTAATTCATGTCAATTTATTCTTCTGATATGCAAGTATTCTGGGGATTTTATTAGTCTTTTTACTTGTGTTTGATTATTCCCTTGAGAAGAAAACTACGGGCCCCTTCTCTTTACTATTTTCAAGCCGTTTTTTGTTTTCGATTTTCCAAAACAGTGAAAATGCGTTCTCTTTCATATTTTTGAAAATGCGTTTTTAAAAATTAAGTTAAAAATTTACAAAGAAAATCCAAAACGACAAATTTGTCGTTTTAGGTGTTTTCAGTTATAATCGAGTCAAAATTTTTAAAATGCGTTTTCGTTGTTTTCAAAATGCCAAAAAGAATACATTTTCAACAATCTCAAAATGAACACTCAAAATGTAAAATTTAAAATGAATTCAAAACACAAAGAGAACATCTCTTACATGGTTTTGATCAAGTACTAAGGTCTACTACACATGATTTTTGAAAAGTCAAAAGTTACGTATGAGATTAAGAACATGTTTGAATAATTTTTTAGAATTGCTTCGATTGTTTAGAAGAGCTCTTGGAGGAAGCCGAACTAGTATAGTTAAGGAATATAGCTTTATCAAGCTTTTCTATTACAAGAGGTAAAAGCAATAGTCTGGCAAACGGCCCCAGTGGCCTTTAAATTATAAAACTATGTTCATACTCTTGATACAAGACTATAGTTATTAAACTCGGGTGGACTATAGACTCGACTAAGATACAGATACTGGGTCATTCCATGTTCATGACTTGTAATTTTGACTCTTCACATTCAAGTTTACAAGCCTATTTTTTAACATTGCGTTATGGATCATGGGATGTGAGTAGATGATCCAATGAATGATTATTTCGTGAATCATGGTTGATGTACAATCATATATAACAATCTTGTTGACACGTGTCGTGTGGCAAATTATTATTTGACAATTTGAAAAATAACTTGTTTTGCAATCAATAATTTCTTGACAACTCATATATTGTCAACCATGATTGTCATCCATGGTTGTACAAATCGATAAATCCTTATTTCATAATTAGATAGAGATTCAACTTCGAATCTTGAAATCCCATTCTTTAGACATTATTATCCATAAAGTTTGGTAAAATTACTGGTGCCGGTCTTAGTGTACTCAACACATTATTTATTATTATTATTATTATTATTATTATTATTATTATTATTATTATTTAAATAGCATTTTAAATTGATATATTTCTTTAGTTGGAGTGTTGAACTGTCGAGGTCGAATACCAAAATCATTTCAATGGTTTTGAATTATTTGTTCTGCTCAATAAGTTGGGACATTATTTGTTATTATTGTCTCATTTAACTTTTTTTTTCAGCACTAACGAGCCTTACTTCTTTTTATTTATTTATTTTACCAAAAATAATTTTTCCTTTGCGAACTATTCAAAATTATGCTTAAGCAAATCTCATATCTAATAACTTGTTCAATTACCCGAATAAGATAATTGACCTAAACTCAATTTAGCACAACTTGGCCTCAAAGTCTCCATCTAATAAAAGTTTAGCATAATTTCATCACCTAACCATTAATCACACGAATATTATGCCATGTTTGATTCTCATTATTTTCAAAATACGTACTTCTCTATTTTCTTTTCTACCATACATTTTTCGATAAAATAATATTATACTCAAACCCAATTTTTTTTTTGTTTTTTAACCTCACATTCTTCATCAATCTACTATTTCAAAATGCATTTTCAACAAAAAAAATATGGCTCAAATAGGCTCTATGTTAAGAATTAAGGACCTGTTTGAGCCCTTTTTTATATGATGCATTTTGGAATTGTAGATTAATGAAAAATGTGTGTAATATTATTTTATTGAAAAATATGTAGTTTAAAAGAAGAGAGAAAAATGTATTTTTTAAAAAATGGGGATCAAACAATATCTAAATCTCTAATATGTACAATGAATAGAGTTCCATTATAGTGACAAAGAAATTACTATTTGTTTATGAAGAGTTGCATACTTTTTTTTTTTCTCTATGCTAAACTCCATGCATCCAATATAAATCAGAAGAGAGTTGTATTGGAAGTTGGGACATTGGGTCAAATGGATGTCATCCAAATGAGTAATGTTATTCATCCTCAGTGGGGATGAAAACACAGATTATGTATTTTTAAATGATTTGTATAATGAAATGTGAAATTAAATGACGCTACGTAGACTGTGTTTTCATCGCCATATAAATGAAAGGTGAAATTAAATAGTCATTTAATTTCACCTATCATTTAATGCCACATTAGCGCCACATAAACTGTGTTTACATCCCCAGTGGGGATGAATAGCATTACTCCATCCAAATAAATAAGAGACTTTGGGAAAAGAGTAAGTAAAGATTTTACATTTTCAAATGTGAATTATTTCATTCTTAATTAATCCTTCTTATTAAAATAATTTAAACTCTTAAGACAGACAAATAAGTTGGATGTGCAATTCGATTAATATAGTTTTTTACGAATTTCACACGTTTGTTGGCCTCAATATAATCCATATTAGTCATTGAGGTTGTTTGCCAAACTGCTCGAGTTAATAAGTTGATGCATAAATATATTTAAAGACGAGATTTATATAAATAAATTTGTTCATTTTAATAGTTTAAATATGATATAAGAACATAATAACGTTTAAGGAAAATTTAAGATATCCATTTAATGAAAACATGTTGGCATAAACGTGAAAGGCTGTCGAAGACTAAGTAGATGAAGAAGATAGCAATGAGAAAAAATTAATAATCATCGTCAAAGAATTATTCAACGTGCATATCAAAAAATATCATAGGGTGACAGCAAAGAATCCTTAGTTATTCAGATGATCATACGAGACTGATTATATCGTCAACGAAAATAATGTAGTACTAAAAAATAAAGCCAGAATTTTCAGATTTCAAGAAACGTCAAAGTGTTCATACAAGTTAATAAATATATGTGACACTTATTTTGTTTAAATATAAGGGGAAAAAAATTTAAACTGTCAACTAGAGTATTAAGTGAGGCAAGTAACTCTTCGACTAGCCCCACAAATGAGCAGAGCTGGCTCGCGAGAGGACTAGGCTCATCCCATCAAGGGGCAAGTTGGTGAAACGAGTCGAACCGAATCGATACTTTTGAAAACGAGCAAACTTGCGCTCAACTCGACCCATTTAACATCCCTATTATCAAACACATGTTTTTACCTTCAAATAGATGGAGCTGCTTACTTATAAATCTGAATATATAATAGAGTCTCCCAAAAAGTTCTTGGCACCAAGATCATTGGATAAATAGTACCTAATCCTGATGATGCTCCAGAATCTTTCGATTGCTTGTTTGAGAATTACGATACTTAGCTATGTAATTGAACCCTTGCTACCACCTATCCTTACTAAAATAGGGAACCTTCGTAATGAATTGATATTTTTTTACATATAGTCATGAGATCATATAGATGACAGTAAGCGAGCAAACAACAAGAAGACATAACAAATAGATATACACTTGACGTAAATAGAGCTTATACATGAGTTTGCATGTCAAAAATATAAATATAAACAAATAATCTATTTCCGTCTTTACCTTTTAAGCTTTTAAATCATGCAATTCAATGAAGAGAAGAGTTTACTCTCTTATTGACCCATACATTCATACCTTTTGAGGCCCTCGATCAACTGCCATGAATGAAAACTTCAAAATAATCAACATTATGATAACATATCTTTGTTAAACCTATATAATAAATTCTCTTATTGTTTAAAGGCATGTACTAAATCCTTAACCTATTTAAATTCGCGATTTTAAATCTTTGTGCGATCGAAACCGTTGATGTAAACATCTAAAAAACACGAGATGCTCACGTGACTTAAAACTGAATGAAAAATGGCCAAACCATTTAACCTTTATCTCCCGTTCAATCTTAAGTAAAATGCAATTTTAATATCTACATTCGATCACATGAGTTTCTAAGTTCATGGATGATAGAGAGTCTAGAACCTCACTTGTAAATATTGAGGATCTATAACTACACCATGTAAAATATATAGGAGTTGAACCATAATTTTCTCAATAATATCAGCTAAAATTTAGTAAAGAAAATTCCATTTTCATATGTTTTCATGTCGGATAATACATGTATCCCATCCCACCCATATATAGGGATGTTACACAAATTGAGTTAGCTAGACTCAATTCAAAGATGAGTTGAACTGAATTTTTCTTGTACAAATTGCTCATCGAGTCAAGCCACTTTATTTGTCTCATTTAGCCAGCCTGATAGAAATTAAAATCATTTTTTAATAAATTTTATAAAAGTTAATGGAATAAATGGTTGAAAAGTTGTAGACACTTTGAAATTCATGGTAACAAATAATTGTTGATTTTAAATTAAATTTTAATCAGATTTTCTATCTGTGATAAATTGCATACATGAATGTCGAATAATGCTAGAGATATATAAGCATTTATATAAGGGTGTCCATAATGTTGACGTGACAATCATTCGATTATCGACGTGTAAGTGTCATATTTGAATGAAAGATGGGATCAAATGCCATATTAACGATATGCACACCCTATGTACCAATGGCATTATTCCATGAATGTCAGCTTATACTTCAACCGAACTCAGTCTCAAATTCGTATATAAAGGACCGACAACAAAAATAGAATCCTCAGGCGGCCAATCATAAAATTATATAAAAATTGCCGCACTCACTCATAGGTAAATTACACCCTCTTGCTGTGTTTTTTTTTTTTTTTGTGATATATGTAATCCTGCTTGATTGACTTAATCGTATGGCTTGTAAATATGCCTAGTGTTTGTGGATCTAGGGTTTAATTTTGTTTTGAAGATTGTTTACTGGGTAGGAGTTGTATGGTAGAAGGGAGATTTTAATTGGTGTTGATTGTAGGGTGTAAGGATGTCGACACCTGCCAGGAAGAGATTGATGAGGGATTTCAAGCGGTTGCAGCATGACCCTCCGGCTGGCATTAGTGGCGCTCCTTGTGATAATAATATTATGCTCTGGAATGCTGTTATATTTGGGTATGTTTTTTCGCTAGATAGTGTTTAACACTACCGGAATTTTTTAGGTGCCACTGGTGTTGGTTAATGTTTTGATTTTTACTGGTTGTTCTTGTTTTTTTGTTTTTAATTGCAGTCCAGATGACACTCCTTGGGATGGAGGTGAGAATATTCTTGCCCACGAAATCAAAACGTTTCTGTGATCATTCACGCGTTATCATGATTGCTCTCTTTGTATGTTTCATGTGAACTACTTATCCCTGTGTCTGAGTTAATTAAGGAATTGGATTTAGGTTTAGGTTTCGGGCTATGCAGACTTGGGTTTTTGTTGATACTGTTGATGCCCTTGCGATTGACACTCAATTTAATGGATCTAGCTATGCAACCCATCGGTCATTGTCATGATTTTTCTGCAACTCTACATCGGAATCGGAGTAAAGGCTTTTGACTGGATTCTGCATTAGTTTCATTTGCACATGATGAAATAACTGCTGTTAGTCTTATAAACGAATAGGTGGGCCCATCCATATACATTACACTAACTGAATATTCTATGGATAGATGTTAATTCAAGATCTATGATGCACGAATAATCTTACTAGGGCTGCCTATCGTGTCGGATATTGACACTTTATGATGCGGGTCTGACAAGCCAATACCGTATCCTATTTAGCCCTTGTTTGAGCCCCATTTTAGGAAGAAAAAAAGTATTTTAGAATAGTGATTTTTTGGAGATTGTGTGTTTAAAAGGTAGGAAAAAAGTTTTGGATTTACGTGTAAATTATTTTATTGGAAGAATGTGTGGTTGGAAATGAGTTCGAGGAAAAAATACATGAGATAATGGGCCTCAAACATGAGCTTAATTTATATATATATATATGTATATGTATATATATATGCCCATGTTTGGTACACATTCTTTCAAAATATATTCTTTCAAAACTCATTTACATCTATACATTTTTCAATAAAATAATATTTTTCATCACATCAATAACTCATTTTCACACTCCTCGAGCAAGTGGACATGGCATGTGCTACATTCTATATTAAAGATTATTAAAAATAAAGATATAATATATAAGTTTAGCATTTAAAAGAATTTCAATCGACGTGTCCGTGTCTTACAATTTAGAAAATCATGTCCCTATGTCCATGTCCGTGTCCGAACTACTTAGTTCAAGACTATAGTTAGCTATGCGACTGTCCTTTCCATAGTTGATTCTCATAACATGCTAAGGGCAGAGTGTTGTGTAGATGAAGAGCTCCTAATTGGATTCAGAATGTTTTAATTTCTGAACCATGATCACAACAATGCTTTTGTTTCTTACATAATTCTCATGTACGTGAATACAAATCTATTTCATCTTTCTACACAACCAATATCTCATTTATGCAAGAAGAGTATTCCAGCAAAGTTCATAAAAGTAGAGGAAATCCTCTTCTTGGACGAAATGATAAAGTCAACATCACAAAATACTAGTGTACCTGCCACCTGCACTCCTTCATCAATGTCATTTTCGACTGAATTGCCCTGAAAAATGACCTAGACTAATAGGGAAATCCATTCATTTGACCTTTTGATGTTGACGGGAAAGTTTATATGGATTTTACTTCAAATGGCTGGTTTTCTGAATACACCGATTCCCCCCCCCCCATCTCATCACAGGGTGATGAATCATTCTTTTGTGTTTTTGGAATGCAATATTTTTCATTTATAATTTTATTTTTTGCTTTCAGGGACGTTTAAGTTGACTCTTCAATTTATGGAAGATTACCCAAATAAGCCACCAACAGTGCGATTTATATCTAGAATGTTTCATCCAAATAGTAAGTAACTAAATATTTTACTTTTGCTTTCATGATTATGGCAAAAGATTTTATGACTACATAATTGACAATATTTGCCCTGGCTTTCTTTCTTTGAAAGTTCACACGAATCACATGGCCAATCCTAACGATGCAGATCTGTAGATCTAAGCAGATAAAAAAGGAGAGAATTATTTTCCTCTAAAAATTCATGTCTTAATGCATGCCTTTGTAAACTCTAGGCATTTCAGAACTAAGAAGAATAGCATTGGATGTCAACAAAAATAAAGCAAGAACTTATCCTGCTTGGATCTGCTTATATTTTTCTCCGTAATCCTTGCTGTACTGTAAGGATTGAGAATCTTATGTTCATAAATAATTCCTATGTGAACATGTTAGATGGATAGGCAATGACTTTATGCTATTAGTTATGTTGATTTGTGGTTCCCTTAAATTTATATTAATTTTATTTGCGGTTTTTACATGCATCCCCGAGTCATTTTGCTTGACATTTGGGTATATCCTGAACATTTTATTTGATTTATTCCCTTAAATTTATATCAATTTTATTTGCGAGTTTTACATGCATCCCCGAGTCATTTTGCTTGACATTTGGGTATATCCTGAACATTTTATTTGATTTTCATCTCAAACCAAAGTTATATGAAGATTGATATAAAAAGTTTTATGCTTCAACCCTCAGATAATTAATACTTATAATATCTACTTTTTAAAAAAATTTCAGGAAACTAGTCTTGTTACTCTTCCCGAGTCAACATCCCTTTTGCCATGGTTTCCATGGTATGAAAAAATCCTGCTGAGGCCCGCCTCACTGTGAGGCGCAACTTCTATGCCTTGAGGCTCAATCTATGAGGCAAAAAAAATGAGGCGCACGCCTCTACATCTGAGGCAAAAAAAATGAGGCGTGCGCCTCATTTGAAGTATGTTTTGTCAGGTTTTTGAAAAGGAATTAAAAAAGACCCACTTTAAAAAAGAGAATGGCCCATTTAAAAAGACATTTTGGACCAAAAAAAAATATTAAAATATCTAAAATACTAAAAGGCAGCCAGAAACCNTTCTAGTGACTTACAATTTGAAATTGTTTCACTAGACTTTACTTGACTTTTTTCTTGTTCAGTGCATCGTCACCAGATTGCACCTATTTTGTTCGGCAGAATGCACCTGTTTTGTTTGTGGTGAGGCTTACGCTTCAAAACGTTTTGAGACTTACGCCTTGCCTCATAACAAAAAAAGGTTTCGGTACCCGTTTACGTTTTTTCAAACTATGATTGTTTTCAGAAACAATCTCTCTAGTAGTTGAATAGATTTTAACATAGTTTTCTATAGATACACGTCATTTTCCCCCTTTTGGCTTCTCCATTTTATTTGTTTAAAATCATATCTACCTCAACAAGATTTCGATTTTTTTTTTCTCCTTTTAAATCCTAGCCAATATATTAGAGTTATGTGCTTATTCTTTAAAGCCATCACGTAGTAGTGAGCATTTTCAATATCCCTATACTACTAAAGTACTACACCAGCACATCATCTGAGTTCCATACTTTAGGATCTTCTTAAAGATAGAATCTTGAGCAATGTACTATAGTTGATTGGTTGTGATATTGCTTGTGTTTTTCAGGTACCCCTTTTATCTATTTTGGTGATATTGAAGGCTATCTTGAGTGAGAAGTTCATTCACACTCTGTTTTTGATATTAAACACTAAAAAGCATTACACGTTCTTTTTTAAAAAAAATCACATATTATAGACAAGCATAAAAAGAAGAAAAGGTCGAAAATCAAACACATCTGTAGGCTATGATTTTTACGTTTTTAAGTAATTTAATATTTGACCCACTTTTATGTTCTACTGTTTGTATGATTTGCTTTTTAATTTTATTTGGATACCATTGGATTTAGCATTATTTTCTTTGGCATTGGTTTACATCTGGGATTTAATATCTTGTAAACAATTAAAGACAGAAAATTAAGATTCTCAGGGCGAATAAATGATACCAAAACATACTTTTGTAAACATGACGAAGTGAAACTTCTGGAATCCTGATACCCTGCCATAACTGATGTCTTTTGGTTGTAATTTGTAAACTATGCTCGTTTTTGGTACTAGTGGATTAATTTCCTCGGTCTACTGAGTTGGTCATTGTTTCATATGCCTTTTTTTTCCTTAAAAGAATTTACTATAGCATGGAGGGATTGTCTTGTGTGTCGTGCTCTCATGTTTTTGTTTTGTTATCAACCAGTTTATGCTGATGGAAGTATTTGCTTGGATATTTTACAAAATCAGTGGAGTCCGATATACGACGTAGCTGCAATACTTACTTCTATCCAGGTATCACAGGGTTTTAAAATTTTATTTTTTCTCTTTGTTCAACTGAACACAATTATAAGTCTATAACAATAGAACATCAACTAACTGTACTGTGATTCTAAAAAATAATAAAAACGACAAAAAATTCCAGAAGATTCTTTGAAGAGGTATAATTTCTTGTGAAATAATGAGTAGGTCTCAGGAAGTAATTGGAGAATACGTAAAGATGCAATTCTGTATTTCATCTGTTATATACTTGATATCAGTATATGATCATGTTTTCATTGCTTCCTGTATGACTCTTTCTTACACGTGCATGTAAATTTGTCCCAATGAAGAGGGCTTAATGGTACAATGTAAACTTGCCCTTGCCAATACGACCTTGATAATGGATTGTTTAGAAAACCAAGAAAACTGTTCAAACAAGAGCTAAATGCTATATCTTTTTGCTTATGTCAAAAAAGGAAAAATATATGATATGCTATGATATGCTTGAATTGTGACCAAAAATGCTTGCTTTGATAGGCATAAGCTTTGAATGAATGACTATTAGTTTATAATAGATAGGGGGAATATATGAAATACATTATTCTTAGCCGCTATCAATTGTTTGATATCATTTTGCATTCATCTTGTTTGTCATAATAAAAATGGGGAAATTGTTTACTTATGGTTGACTTTATCCTTAACGTTTTGATAAAAGCAAATAAGTTAATTTTGTTTCTAACAATTGATTTAAGTCTTCAAAGCATTCGATGGTTAATTGATGATCATCTAAAGATCAAAGGCTATTATTACAAATCGAACTCACAAAGAAAGCTAAGATCAAATTCAAAGTCTTTCAAGCATTCAAAACAAGATTGAGAGCCAAAGAAATTTCAAGAACTAGCCTTTTTAGATCAAATGTTGTGGTACTAATACCTTGATATTTAGCAATGAATGTTTTTAAGGTAAAACATTTTTTTTTTCATTAAAAGCTATTTTGTGCGCTAAAAGTTATTGTGATAAAATGTTTTTGATCAAATATAAAGATGACTTTTTGATCAAAACATCCCAACGTTGCATTTTCACCCCTATTTATACATTTTATTGTGGAAATCATCATTTTCATCCAATTTCTAAATTTGTGAAATGACAAATATACCATTCTATTTATAGTAAAAAAAAATAATTAATTGCAACCATACCTCGAATTTTAAAGAAAGTGCAAATGGATCCTGAATAAATTATTAAAAAAATCAAAAAGAAGAAAAATAATAATAAAAAAATATCATCCTCATCCTCATCCTCATCCTCATCCTCATCCTCATCCCCCTGCCCAACCCCCATCCTTACCCTCAAACCAAAGCTTTAATGTGTAAAATTTGAGCAAGTTGTACTTATATATTTTGCGAATTTTATACTTTATTCTTTAATATCAATCTTTTTGAAAAACTTTTCAGATTTTGAATTAGGCTATTGTCAGCTTATGGGCAACGGGTGCGACAGCTCTATCATCTGCCTCCTTATCTATAATATATTAAACATCAAGTGAGAATCATTTTTTGAACAATTCTAACCCTACTATTCCCCTGTTTGACACAAAGTTTTTCAAAATACATTATTTTAAAACTCATTTTCAACCACACATTCTTCAATAAAATAATATTTTCCATCACATCAATAACTTTTCCTTCTCTTTCAACCACATATTCCCCATCACATCACTATTTAAAATACATTATTTCCTCAATAATATCCATCAAACACACACTATAATTTCATTATTTCAATAATACCTTATTTTTCGTTTTTCAATAATCAATATGTATTTAATTTATTTAACCATTTAATTACCATCATTGTACATGTACATTTGACAAATTCATTTAAGTTGTATGCTTTCATTAATGCATGAATTCTTTATTATTAATTCTCAATTAATTAACATTCACGTTTATTTAATTAATATTCATTTTCATTTATGCATTTCAGTGTTATTAATTATAATTCTAAGTTAATTAGAATTTTACATTCAAGAATGTATTTCATTATTCACGTCCATGTATGCTAATTAACATCCAGTTTTACTAAATTAAATAAATAATTTAATATTCGTTGTCACGTATATATTTCTTAGTATTAATTTTAAATTAATTAACATTCACGTATATTCAAATATTACTTTTACAATACTTATAAAACATTTCATAATAACGTACAACGCACGTTCAACGTTGACTAGTCATAAGAGATGTGGCTACAATGTTTGGTTTACCTGCTTATCAAAAATTTTTGTGGCCTATTTTGCTCGGATTAGAGTATCAGAAATTGTGGATGCTAAACATTTACAGTTCCTTAGGGATTCCATAGTTGAGTTGTCCTTGCTTCTATAAGTCAACTTGCTAAGATATTGCAGTGGGCTTTGTAAACAAAGAAGAAGGTATATATAAAGTATTTCTGATTTGAATGCCTTTTGATTTCATGAGCATAATTAAAATACTCATGAAAAAGCTTTGGTTTGGTGTTTAAATTTGGTGCTGGCATACCAGGAGAAAAAGCTTTGGTTTGGGGTTTCAGGGTAAGGATGGGGTCAAGGGGATGAGGAAGAAGATGATGATTTTCTTTTTAATTTTTTTTCTTTTTATTTTTTAATAATTTATTTTTTTGTCCATTTGCACTTTTTTAAAATATTTGAGAGTATGATTACAATTAGTTCTTTACTTTACTTTACTTTTTTTTTTTGTTTTATTTAAATAGAAGGGTATATTCGTCATTTCATATCTTTGTATTGAGAAATTGGAAGAAAATGATGGTTTCCGCAATGAAAGGTGTAAATAGGCATGAAAATGCAAAAAAAAAAAAAAAAAGCAACGTTGGAACGTTTTGCACAATAAACTCCATACGCAGGGACGTTTTGTGCTAATAACCTAATATCCTCACTCTTTCCATTCTTCACATCTCATTGTTTGAGAGCATTAAAAGTGAGAAACTCTTGAGCAAAACTCTGAGTTTATCTCTTATTTAATTCAACAAACATTTACTTTGAAAACTTTTGATTGATTAAATCAGTTTTTGAAAATCATTTTTTTTATTCATCATAGTTTTCTCATCTAACACTTGAGCTTCATTTATTACAATTCATTAAAGTGTTAGTCTCTCTTAGAATTAAATTTTTTTGTATCATTTATTAAGAGAAACGTTCAAATTGTAAAATCATTCTTCAAATTTATGGGTCGTATTGAGGTCCTTTGTAAGCTCAATAGTTTGGGTTGCATTGAGTTTCCGTAAAGCTCAATATTGTATAAATATCGATGTTCTTTGTTTGTAAATCACTGAAAGCATTGTAAAAGTTTGGATTGCACCAGAAGTCAATCAATACAGTGAAAATGTATTGCTTGTAATGGAAAGTTTGATAACGGAGGTTGTAGATCATTGGTTGGGATTCAACCTCTACAATTATATCATTTGCACATTCTCTTCCCTTATTGCTTTCGTATTTGTGCATTTTGCTTGGTTGATTTATTCATTCTTAACTTGCTTGAATTTGAATTAATTTTTCGAAAAAGTTTTGAAAATCAATTCACCCCCCTCTTGGTTAGTTATTCTCGAGCTATCAATTATCACTCGTTAAATTTACCATCTTGTTGTTTTACTAGTTTAAAGTTTTTAACAAAAAAATCACATGTACTTGGAATTTTTTTGCATAATTCAATGTTGTTTAACCCAATTTTGTTCTTGTCCTTTTATCTTTCATTTTCCCCTGTTAACAATGATGGATGCCTGAAGAGTAGTGGCTAGTTTGTTACCTATAATCAAGATTGACATCATGCCAGAAAATATAAAGAAATTATTGAGAACTGATAAATTGGATGAAGAAAGTACAAAGAAATGAGAGGGTATCAGATTTTCTTTATTTTATGGTATCTTAGCCAAATCTCGTTTCTTTCAAGTTTGACCTTTTAGTCTTTCAACCAACTAATTTAACCTTTCAAACACGTAGTCTAAATATGAATGCTCTTGTTAGGTTGCATGGCTGCTCTTTGAAGAGAAAGTTGTATATTGACAAAAAAAAAATTTAGGAGCATGTGTTTTTATTTTAGCAACTCCAGTTGTCATTGGTCCGTTACTCGAATTCAACTTTTTTTTTTTTACATATATAATTTCAGTCTCTGCTCTGTGATCCAAATCCCAACTCACCAGCCAATTCTGAAGCTGCACGGTTGTTTAGCGAGAACAAACGTGAATACAATAGGAAGGTGCGTGAAATTGTTGAGCAGAGTTGGATGGCAGATTAAATGTTCTCTCAAAGGTTCCATAACAGGATATTGCACTTGTGAGCTAAGGTTGATGTTACAAGGCCCTTTGTCCTTTGTAGGATTGTCTCTGTTTCAGTAAAATGCCTTTTTAGTACCATTTCTACATTAGTGACTGATGTTGGGAAAACAATTTTTAAGAATTATGTCATGTGTTTGTCCCCAGGGATTCCCAAGTGTCTTCATCGTTATGTGTTGTGTTCTCTTGTATGTTCATAATGAAATCTTGTATCCGGTTGCATGAAAGTTAATGGAACTTTATTTTTTCGCCATTACTCTAGGTAGGTGTTGTGGTGTGTTTGATGGATATTATATTGAGAAAAGAATGTATTTTAAATAGTGATATGATGAGAAATATGTGGTTAAAAAGTAAGGAAAAATTATTGATGTAATAGAATATATTATTTTATTGAAAAATGTGTGGTTGAAAATGTATTTTGAAAGAATGTGTGTCAAACAGGGGATTAAAGTTCAATGTTCAATTCTTTTCCTTCTGATGCAAGAAATGCCCGAATTGATCACCTATATTTCTTTGTGATGGTTTTTGTACAATGTGAGCTCGAATATTTGTACTTTTAATGGTGAAGCATGTATCATGTACATAGCTATTTCAACTTTACGCGACCAACCTGCATGATATGACTTTTCGCGCTCATGTGATCTTCCTCGTATAGGTTTCTAGTTTCGGGTTTATATATATTCATCTGTGATGATATTTTTTTTTCATTTGAAAAAAAAATATATACAGATTATGGTTGTGAACATCCGGGTTGGCATCATAATTTTGAGTTTTGCTACACAAACATAATACTTGACATAGGGGATGACGCAATATACACACATGGGGGAGGTCGGCATTATTTAATTCAGGTCGGGACCCATATATAATGAGAGAGGTCGGTCAACCCTTATGTCAAGCATTATGTTCATTTAGCTTAATTCCATAATTTTTTGAGTATTTTTGCCTCGACCCTGTTTTAATTAAGTTGCATTTGTGCCACCGACGCTGGATTATTACATATATATATTGAGATTGTTGTACAGGTATGGGTGGATCCATCAAGGGACAATTGGACATAAGAATGAATGATGTCTAACAGTTTACGTTGCAACTGTGCGTGCAAAGACAGATGTTGATATTTCAACTACCATCCCAACTTTTTACTCCATGTCCGCATTTGATTATTAGAGAATGTAACAATTTATTTAACGTGCATGTCATTTATTTATTTTATTTTCGATATGTTTACTCAGATTGAATACGGGCTTAATTTGTTAGCAATGCAGCAGTATCTTGAAAATATGAGCTATTTGGAAATTTGACGACTTATTCCATGTTTGAGACACATTTTTTCAAAATACATTCTTTTAAAACTCATTTTCAACCACACATTTTTCAATAAAATAATATTTTTCATCACATCAATAACCTTTCTTTACTTTTTAATCGCATATTTCTCATCATATCACTATTTAAAATACATTCTTTCTTCAATAATATCACATCATTAAAACGACTTGTCAACTTTTGACGATCCAGTCGATGTTCAATGGAACTCGGCATCGCTTGTAGAGACAAAAGTGGCACATTTTGGGTTCCTAAATTCACAAATACTGCCCAAAATCAGCCCACGAACTTTACAGAGCCCTTGTCCTTGTTTGGTTTCATCAAGAAAGTGGATTATAATTCAATTCAAAATTTAACTATTACGTTTTAACTAAAAATTATTTCATCAACTTTTATTAAATTTTTTGAAAATTTTGATTTACATGGGCTAAATATGTGAGTTAATTTAATCAGTGGTCACTGAACTTTGTACAAATTATTAATAGCTCACCAAAATTAAAAAAAGATACTCTTTGCTTGCTAAATTTTATTATAGGTTATTAATTGTTCACAGAAATTTAAAAAATTACTCGTTGCCCACTCAAATTTGAACAAAGTTACCTTCAATCACTCATATTATTTCAATCAGTGTTACCTATAGTACAATTCAACAAGCAATGGGTAATTTTGTGTGAGCAATGAATAACTTTTTAAATTTCGGTGAACAAGTGATAATTTATAGAAAAGTTCAGTGAACAACAATTAAGCCCTTGTTTGAGCCATATTATTTTTTTCATTTTTATTCTTCTACTTATTTTTAACCACACATTTTTCAATAAAATAATATTTTTTATCACATCAATAATTTTTTCTTTTTTTTAACCACGTATTTCTTATCACATCAATTGAAAAAAATATATTCTCTCATTTTAACGTACACCAAACGTACACCAAACAGGCTTTAACTATTTAAAGATGAGTGAGCAAGTACTAATGCCACTGATTAAATTATTTGATATGTATGTATTTACTATTTACATCTTCATCTCCGACTCCGTGTGTCACACTCAAATTAGAGAGAGAATGGAGAAACCAGAGTGGTGGAGTGAGTGAGAAGGGGTCCATTTTCCTTACCATGTGTGCATCAAAGTACTTCAAGGTAGGGGCCTCCGATACTTATTTGCTTTCTCTATCTATCACTTTATGTTTTTACTTCCATTTCAATCAAGCTTTCAACTGAAATTCCTATCTATCACTCTATGTTTTTACTTCCATTTCAATCAAGCTTTCAACTGAAATTTCTATCTATAACTGGGTTTCCAATTGGTGACTCATTCGTCCAAATTTTCCCTTTACTAAAATTTGCGTGCTTGCAGAAAAATTGCTTTGCTGCGGGATCTTAATTTGAATTGAACCTTGTTTACCAGGTGTAGAAATCGCAGATCTAAGCCACATTACCCAAAATCTCACTTCTCTTGCTTTTGTTTTTCTTCAATTGCACATATTTTGGGCTTCTACTCATTATTATGTGGTTAGGGCAGATCTTGTGTGGGTACTTATGTTTGTGCTTTTGTAGTTTACTGGAAATAAAATTTAATTTTTAGCCAGTTATAATTATAATTATGTTTTTAATATCTTTCCATGTAAAAATGTAGTGAATTGTTACTTTTTCAAGTAGTGAATGCATTAAATAGAACTCAAAATTGTGTTTTAATTTTGCCCATGTGCTGTTTTTAGAGAAGTATAATTGTCTGTCAAAATAATAATATAAGAAAATTGGACTTCATCGTTCTCTCTGTTTTTTATTTTAGTTTTAACATCACCATACTGTGATTATTTTCTTTGAAGTTTGAACACATAAATCTAAATGCTGACTCCAAAATAATTTTCTTGGGGTTATGCATAAAACACATTTTTTTCCTTATATACTTTACGTGCATGATTAAATTAGCTAATTGTAAGGTAAGTCAGAGAAGATAACTAATTTGCATCATAAGCTGTGAACATCTTTTGAGTGTTTTACACCTTTTTGCTCTTTAGTTCTGTACTTTATTTGTTCATGTTTTCTAGTAATCTTTTCTAAACAAAGTGATTTATGACGGGCAAATAAAAATCAGACTTGTGAATTATACTGTTTTGCCCTTGCTCGTGTATGCGTGATTTTATAATACACAATACAGTGTAATGTTGTAATTTGCAACCGTGTATTTAAAGGCTAAATCTTTTGAAAATAGTGCAGGGTTTGAATTGAGAGACGGCTGTTTCTTGTGGTGGCCTGCAGCGATGGGGAAATCTCCAGGAAAGTGGATCAAGGCTGTACTCTCTGGAAAAAAGTCTTCCAAGTCTAGTTTATCTAAAGTAAGAATGTGGTAGGCTAGTATTTTATTTTACTTTATTTTGTGTATAGTTTTATGATTCTCTTCCCGGTTGCTTTGAGAGAAACCTTGTGTCTGATATCAGTTCCCCATTTTGCAAATAACCCTATCTTTTGTTGATCCTTGCTAATTTTATGGGGTACACTGCCTATTGGTCATGGTAAAACTAATGTTGCCTGAATTTTCTGTGATACACTGTGGACTCTTTTGACTTGTGCTGTTTCGAGATTATTAATCTACTATAAAGGTGATTCTGGAATCCATTGTGGTTTATACTGTTCAATTGTTCAAATATCCTATTCCCCATAATTATTTTAAATGTGAATTACGAGACTCTTAAAATCTGACGATTGAGAAAAATTTCACTGGCCCAGTTTTGTGTTTGACACAGATATTAGTTTATCTTCAATTTCTTTTTTCTTGTGCAATATCCTGGTTTTTTATTTTGGTGCTTCATTTGCATTCTTTCTGTTTGGGCTATTTATAGTTTACAATTCTTCTAGACATTTCACCTGTTCTAAATTATGCATTTGATCATCAGTATTTCTGATACAGTGTGAGACTAGAATTCATCACCGAGATTATTTCGAGGTTTCGTTTGGTTTCTGAAAAGCTCAGTTTTGGTGTCTTTCCAGTTACAGGACCGTTATTTCTAGTCCTAGTTTATTTTGGTCATTGGAATTTTTAGGGATGCTTCTTGTAACTAGGAGAGTGTGGAGATGGATAAAGGAACTTTTGTAACATGCTGAAGTTTATATTATGTCAGTTCTCATTAGTTCACCGATTTACTTCCCCACCTCTTGAACTTGTGAAGGCTTTACTTCGATACAAGTTCTGTGATTTTTCGATTTTGTATTTTTTGGCAATTAAATTTTTAGTCTTTCCACAATAATGTGATGCTAATCCAAGCTATTATTCCATATGAAGAATTTTACTGCTGAGAAAAGGACTGCTGCGCCAACGGGAGATCTCACTGTGAGTCCGTTGCTTGTCTCAGATCTGCCATATCAGGCTACGGATAGAGGTGCAGAAAATCTGGAATGTGATAAAGGTACACATGCCAGCTTGCCATGTGATACTGCTGCTTTAGTGCCTATTGATCAAAGTGTGGATTTGCAAGGTATTGTGGGACCAAATTCATCTGATGATGGTGAAATAAGAAGACAAGAGCAAGCTGCCACAAAAGCACAAGCAGCCTTTCGGGGCTACATGGTAATGCTCTTGTAAATGATATTTCTAGCTCGAGCGATAATGATGATTTTTTGACAGATATGTTATATCCCTAATAGTATCTAAGCACATTCCTCCCAGGGAGTCCAAATAAGTTGGTCCCTTTTTAATAAAACTTGATGGTTTAGTCAAACATGGAACCTGATGTTAACTTCTAAACTGCGTTACTTTTTAACCTGCAATACCTGAATTTTTTTTGTCCACATTCATTAATTTTTCCTAGAATATTTTTCCCTGGGTTTGGAGAAACTGCATTCACAGCCTTCATCTTAGGAGAAGTTCTCCACGAATGTGTACTGGTCCTACTGGATTTTCAGTCAGTTCAGTAAGCGTGTATATGTATTTTTTCATTGTATGTCTTCTTGCTATATGTATAATTTGCTTTTCCTATTTGACAACGCACAAAAGAATGAGTACAGTTGCATGTATGCAACCCTGACAGAAGGAAGGTTCACCACATCGCCTGTGCATGTAGTTATTGTTTTCTTGTTATTGTATGAGTACCATTGCAATCATGAGAGAAGGAAGGTTCACCACAGCGCCTGTGCGTATAGTTATTGTTTTCTTGTTATGGTCTGAGTCTATCCGCAAGCATTTGGTGCTTGCTTTTCTTGGTGTTTGGTCCTGCTGCGTCTTCCTGGGTATAGTGCAAGACTGATTTGCTTCAATCCACCTTTCATGGCGTCCTATTCTCCTTGCGTTGGGTTCAGTTTGCTGGAGCCAGATTCCGTTCCTGGGGGGCTAAGTCCCATTGTGAGGTTTAGGCTCTTCCTCAAGAGATTTTGGTCCGAAGATTGCTCATTTGGCTAAGAGAGAACTTCATGCTTAGGGGAGAGTTTGGTGTTGACGTGGTGAGATCACTGATGGAAGGGGAGATTCTTTTGGAGCCTTGGGGCTTTAGGTCAAATTTCCATGCTTGTAAATGAGCCTTGATATTCCATGTATACTCTGTTTACTTTATGTGGTTAATGTTTTGATTCAATCATCAACATCAACATCAACTAAATCCACAGGCTCGTCGGGCTTTTCGGGCACTAAAGGGTATAATAAGGCTACAAGCTCTTATTCGCGGACATTTGGTTAGGAGGCAGGCACTTGCCACTTTCCGTTGCATGCAATCAATTGTTAAATTGCAGGCTTTGTCTCGTGGACAAAGGGTCAGACTTGCAGATTCTAGACATGAAGCGATGGTAAAGTGCACCGCAAGAGAGATTCAGGTAACTGAGTGACATAACTTTATAATATCTGGTTTTACTTTTTCTCATTTTACTCAGGCTACTTGTATGTAGATTGAGCAGAAAATTGGATTTGGACGATAAGATGTAGAGAAGCTATATCATCTATCGGCATTAAATTTCCTTTTCCCCTTGGATTTGTTTATCAAAATTGCGATGTCTTTGTGCTACTTAGCAAACACGCATGATTTTATACTTCATCAGGATGCTAAAAAGGCAGATGCATTTGGAAGAAATTCATCTCTTGGGTCAGAGAAGCTAGTGACAAATGCATTTGTCTGCAAGGTATATTTTATTTTCTTTATCGACTTGAAGAGCTAAAAGTGTGTCTCTCTTTTCAATGAACGTATTACCCTTTTCCTCTCTCATCACCTTGTCAGGCTGGCTAGATTTTATTCAGTGTAGCTATCATAAACCCATTATTTGAATGAGCTCCACTTTGGTACTGACTTTTGAAGAAAGAAATATTTTTCTTAATTCAATAATGGAAAAATACAGCCATATTAATAGTACAAGATTAAGGAGCAGGAAACGAAAAAATCTCCTAATTTAAGAAAATAAACTATTCCTAATTTATCTAGCTGAATAAGGAAATAACTAAACTAAATATAGTACAAATAATCAATCCAATATACATGATTTCTACACTCCCCTCAAGTTGGATGGTAAATGTTGACCATTTCCAACTTGTGAACGAAATCATCGAAACTTTGCCTGGGTAGTCATTTGGTGAATACGTCAGCAGTCTGTTCTTTAGTAGGAATGTAGGTCATGCAAATGACTCCATTTTCAACATTTTCTTTGATGAAGTGCCTGTCCGCGTCAACATGTTTGGTTCGATCGTGTTGAACAGGATTAAGAGAAATGTTTATTGCAGCTTTTTTATCACAGTAGAGCTTGATTGGAAGTTTTACTCTAATCTGTAATTCTTCCAAAAGCTTCTTTAACTACAGTCCTTCGCATATCCCTTGTGCATCTACTCTAAACTCAGTTTCAACGCTACTTTTTGCAGCTACATTTTTGCTTCTTGCTGCTTGCTTCTCTATGTTGCCTAATTTCCCCATACAAATGTAAAATAACCAGAAGTTGATCTTCTATCTTCTGTTGAGCCTGCTCAGTCTGCATCTGTGAAGACTTCTACGCTCTTGTTTTCACTTTTCTTGAAGAATAATCCTTTTCTAAGTGTCTCTTTAAGATATCTGAGGATTCTATATATTTCTTCCATATGAACCTGTTTTGGAAAGTGCATATGTTGGCTTACCACACTTACTGGGAAGGCAACGTCAGGTCTAGTGTGAGATAGATAGATCAATTTTCCAACAAGTCTTTGATATCTCTCCTTTTGAATGGGATTTCCATCGTCTTCTATTTTCATTCCTGTATTAATAGGCGTGTCACTTGGTTTACATCCCAACATGCTAGTTTCTGTTAGGAGATCATGAATATATTTTTGTTGTGAGAGACTGATACCTCTTTTTGATCTTGCCACTTCCATTCCGAAGAAGTACCGCATTTGTCCCAGATCTTTTACTTCAAATTCCATTGCTAGACTTTTCTTGAGTCTTCCTATCTCGCTTAAATTGTCTCCTGTTGGGATTATGTCATCCACATATACGATTAAAATGGTCTTTGTTCCATTTTTTGACTGTTGGAAGAACATGATGTGATCTGATTGTTCCTGTTGATAACCTTGGTCTTTCAACACCTTTGCAAATCTATCAAACCATGCCCTGGGTGATTGTTTGAGACCATACAACGATTTCTTGAGTTTACAAACCCGATTCTCCTCATCCTTTGTTTCAAATCCTGGTGGTAGAGTCATGAAGACTTCTTCTTTTAGTTCCCCATTGAGAAATGCATTTTTAATAACTAGTTGCTGTAGAGGCCAGTCCAAATTAGCTGCTAAAGATAAAAGAACTCTGATGGTATTTAGTTTGGCTACTGGTGCAAATGCCTCTGTGTTGTCAATACCATAGGTTTGAGTATATCATTTAGCAACCAATCGAGCTTTATACCGTTCGATTATTCCACCAGCTTTATACTTTACATTGAAGACCCATTTACATATAATGTCCTAAAATTTCATACATCTTGAGGTGTTACCAAAAATTAATCTTTGCGGAACGATAAAATTCTTTAATAAACAAAATATTAAAACATCCATAAGTTCGAATTTGAAATAATAAATCGTGTCTTTTAAAAAAAACTTAAACATTCTCATTATTTGCTTAAAATGCAGAACGATAAAATTCTTTAATAACAAAATATCAGAACATCCATAAATTTGAATTTGAAATAATAAATCGTGTCTTAAAAAAAACTTAAACGTTCTCAACTAATAAACTCGATAATAACGTTATTGAGCGAAACAAACTAATGAATTTAAAGGCTTTAAAACTTATTATTTTAGTATGTCGAAATCCCTTGGCAGTCCGCTGCACCATCCCGCCACAGCTCCAATCGACCCGATCTAGCTTGTAAAAATTTGTAAGAGTGAGTATTTTAAAAACACTTAGTAAGATAAGTGCAGTTTCCATACACAATTATATAAAAACGACATAAACAATTCATACCACATTTTTCTTTATGGAGTATATCGGTTACCAAACGAAATACCCATCATTTCTCATTTTGGATTTCACGAAGGATTTCACATTTCGTTAGGTTGAACCCGAAGGTCTACCGACAATTTATGCATAAATTATTGAATATAAAAGTATATGAAAACATCAACTTGCACAAAGGTATCTTACCTTGATTGATCAAACGAGCTTTTGATAATTAAAAAAATGTATTTAGAACTTACAGTTGTTTTATATAAAAGCTGTTGTGTAAAATTCTGTGGTAGTAAATTATGGGGCATTGTCACACTATTTATAGTTGAAAAAATTAGTGGTTTGAGTCATAGTATAATTTTGATAAAAATTTATGTTTATCCAATGTGATAAGAATCCGAACTAGAATTTTTGATAGGTTAAATCATCTTAAAGATAAACATGGCTTATATTATATAATATTATCTTACCACAAATATACAATACACCTGCACAGCAAAGATGAATTGATGATACCATATTATATTATTTTCCTTTTACTAATTACCTTAAAAGATACCTTTTTACAAAATAAAATAATGCATATTAATCATGCTTCTCAGAATTAAAATAACTTGGGCTTAACTCATGTAACTTATATTTTCTCCGGCCCAAACTACATTATTTAATGCGGGCTATAAAATGAGCCCAATGTTGATATACTTCGTCACTTTAACAAGATCTAAAAATTTTAGCCCAAAATCGAAGGTAATACATATATCACTTTAGTCCTTCAACTTTTTTAAAAAATAAAATATGGCATGTAAACTAATTAAATTCTATTCTAAAAATTCCGGGGTGTTACATTACATCCTACAGGTTTCTTTCCTCTTGGTTGATCCACTACATCCCAAGTTTTATTTTTTTGTTGATGGATCATAGCATTTGTAGCCCTTTTGAATAGAGTATCCGATGAAAACACATTTAATGGCACGTGGATGAAGTTTTCCTCGGTTATGAGAATGAATGTGTGCAAAGGCAGTACAACCGAACACCTTGAGTGATATATCTGGAATTAGACGAGAAAAAGGAAAGGAGTTCTGAAGTTTTTGTATAGGTGATTCGAAGGAAAGTATGCGACTTGGCATTCGGTTGATTAGATATGTTGATGTTAAGATAGCATCTCCTCAAAACATCTTTGGCATATTTAAGGTGAACATTAGGGTACGAGCAACTTCAAGTATGTGTTGGTTTTTTCGTTCGGCAATCCCATTTTGTTGGGGAGTGTCGACGCTTTGATGAACAATTCTATGTTTTTGTAGATGATCTTGTAGTGTGGTATTGAAGTATTCAGTTCCATTATCAGTGCGTAGGATTTGAATTTGTGTTTGGATCATTTTGTGGAAGTTGATGAATATGGAACGTACATTAGTTTCTCTTTAAGTAGATAAACCCAACATACCCAAGTGTGGTCATCTATAAATGTGACAAACCATTTTGTGTAAGTGCGATTAGGGATTCGTGAGGGATCCCATAGATCGCTGTGAATTATGGTATATGTGGATTTCGGAAAAGTAGTGAGGTGATGTTTTGCAAATTTACAAATTTCACACTGAAAGTCAACAAATGTTTTATTTGAGAAGATAGATAGAAAGACGTGTTTTAGATATTGCAAGTTCGGGTAACCCAGTCTATAATGCCATAATAGAACATCATTTTCCCTAGAGACCAACATAGAATTACAAGTTTCAGTTTGACTTTGTTTACCCACTTCAGTTTCTTCAAAGTAGTAGAGTCTCTCACACTCTTTAGCACCGTCAATCGTCTTCCCCGATGATAGGTCTTGAAAAGCACAGTGAGATTGACAAAAATTAGCAGAGCAATTTGAGTCTCTACTTAATTGGCGATGAACAATAAATTGCACGACAAGTTTGGGACATGAAGAACATATTTTAGAGTTATAGACTCAGAAATACGAATACTCCCTTTTCTTGCTACAGACGAGAGTGATCCGTCGGCGATCTTAACCTTTATATTGCTCGCACAGGGTGAGTATGAGGTGAATAGATGATTAGCATCCGTCATGTGATCTGATGCCTCCAAGTCAATGATCCAAGGAGTTTTATATCTTGAGGAAATATATAGGGCTTTTAGGAAACTACCTTTGTGGGCTAATTAGCTTGAAGGAATGTGAGTGGACGAGTGACTTGATGTTTGGAGACTTGAGACAATTTGATATAGTTGCTCTAATTGCTTAGGGTTGAATGGTCCACTTTTGATTTCCTTAGATTTTTCTGTTTGGTTGATCAAGGCTTGGTAACTGCGATTTTTAGTGTTTTGTCTCGGCTTCCAATCGGTGGGCTTTCCATGTTTATCCCAACATGTCTCTTCCTTTTGTCTGGGCTTACGACAGTATTCACACCATGGACGTCCCTTTTGTTGTCTTTGGCCTGGCCCATGTCCAAATTTTGAAGCAAGTGCTACAATTTCAAATTCAAATCCAGCAGACCCAAGTTTAGAAGTTCCTGTAGGCCCAAAATGACTTGACCCGGATATGGTTTTAAGGGGCCCATTTTTAAAGAGCCCATTACCATTGCTATTTGGGCTGAAGCGTAGAAGAGAAGCAGATTGCAGTCCAGTATCTCCTCTGGTTCCCTTCGACAGAAGCGCGACTTCACTGTTGTCGTTCAACTCCTCACTCAACATCACTCTCCGGCGATTTTCTTCTCTTCTCACCTCAGCAAATACTTCCCTGGTCGAAGGTAGTGGTTGCCGGCTCAATATTCTGCCTCTAACGTCGTCCAGATGCCGATTGAGACCGGCGAGAAATTCATAAACTTGTTCATTTTCGAGTTTTTTCTTATCCTTCACGCTGTCGCCTAGACGTTCCCACTCTTCTTCAGAACTGATATAGAGTTCTTGCTAAAGAGAGGTCATCTCCAGGTAATAATCAGTAACCTCCCTTTCTCCCTGTTTAATTTGCCACAATCGGGTTTTAATTTCAAAATTTTGGGATGGGTTTTCATGGTCTGAATATACTTCTTTGACAGCATCCCAAATATCTTTTGCGGTTGGGAGAAAAAGATAAGTTTTTCTAATAGATGGCTGCATAAAATTTACCGGCCAAGCCATAACCATAGAGTTTTCTGATTTCCATCTCTGTAATTGAGTAGCGTCTGCAGGCCTTTTTGTGTCTCCGGTCAGATAACCCGTTTTCCCCTTGCCTACTAATTTCACCGATTGAGACCATTCCCTGAAATTCCTCCCATTCAAGTTGGAAGGAGGTATTATCTATTCCATGAGAACTAACTGTGGAGTTGATCTCCGTCTCACCGTGAGATGACTCTGATGTTGTAGAGTTTTTACTGTTGATAGGATTGTCCGTCATTGTTTTCGAGGTTTAGAATAACCTCACAGCTCTGATACCATGAAGAAAGAAATATTTTTGTTATTCAATAATGGAAAAATACAGTCATATTAATAGTACAAGATTAAGGAGCAGGAAAGGAAAAAATCTCATAATTTAAGAAAAGAATCTATTCCTAATTTATCTAGCTGAATAAGGAAATAACTAAACTAAATATTATACAAATAATCAATCCAATGTACACGGTTTCTACACCTTTTGAAGATCCAAATCTGTGATGATTTATTTGACAAATTATTTTGGAAGTGAATGAATGTATTGCCAATTTTTTTATTTAGATGTGTGTTTGGTTCAGTTCTAATTGCAGAATTATTTTTCATTGCTTTATTTTCTTCGGTCCAGCTATTTGTGTTAGTTGTGCCTAGAAAAAGCAAAACTGAAGTATCCTTTCTTGAAACTATTTACTGTTTTAACTTACACCTAATCAATCCCCTGGCCCTGCCAGCTTACACAGAAGGGGAAAATTATGAAGCATCCAAAATCTACCCTCTGTTACCTTGAGCAAAAATAGTGATGCTCTTCAAATTCATTCAGATTCTACAACTTTTGGAAGTGTTGAAATAGGAGAAATTCAGATTTTGTATTAATTTTCAACTCAAATGTATTAGGATTTAACGGCATTCATTTCTTCTTGTTCTAGCTTTTTGCCTCATTGCCGGCTGCCATGCCCTTGATCCTTCAGTATGATGTGGCTGAACCAAATTCAGCTTGGAACTGGCTTGAGCGTTGGTCATTCTCCCATTTCTGGGAACCACGCACACACATAGGGAAAACTGCTGATGCAAAATCTCAACGAAAGAAGTCTGGCATGCTTATTGTGGAGACTGAAGCTGGAGAATCGAAAATGAGTATCAGAAAGGTTGTTGCTGCCACCAATGGTGACAATCGTGCTTTAGCTTCTTTAGAACAAGTTAAGCCGAAAACCAAACCAAGGAAAGTCACAAGTCATCAAACAGAGTCAGTGCAAGAACAGGCACAGAATGAACTTGAGAGGGTCAAACGCAATCTGAGAAAGGTTTCTGCATCGATGGCAGTGGCTTCTGAGAAGGAAACTGAGAAGCAACATCAGAGTCCTAAAGATGTATCGAGTTCTGCAGCTCCAAATGTTTATAAACAGGAGATTGTTAATTCTCCTCCAAAGCTGCTTGATTTGGATGTTGATGTCAACAAACCGGCTTTAACAGAGGCTCCTTCTAAGCCATTGACAGTGGACGAGCCAGTTGATGCAACACATGATGATCATCCTGCAGTTGAGCTACATTCCTCGGAAATTTGTGGGAATATGGAGACACTTCCAGCTGTCTATGACGAATTGAGCCCTAAGGAAGAACATAATAGCAAAGAGAAGGTGAAAATTGGGAGGAGGAAATCTCTTCCAGCGAAGCAGGAGTATCCTGAGAATGCTTCACTAAGCTTGCCAAGTTATATGGCGGCAACTGAATCTGCAAAAGCAAAGCTTAGAGCTCAAGGATCTTCTAATATTGAAGATGTGGCTGAAAATGGCTTTGAGCGTCGTCATTCTCTACCAGCCCTGACCAATGGCAAATTGAGCTCGTTGTCACCTCGGATGCAGAAGCCAATTCAAGCTAGTGGCAAAGGAGGGAGCAAGAAAAACAGATCACTGGTGTCCTCTAGAGATGGTAAGAGGAGGAATTTCATTATCTTGTGAAATTTTGTCTACTGCACTTATTTCTAACTAGTCAACTCTTTCTTTTTTAGTGACTCGTCTTCTCTGTTCAATTGACCATTTTTGTTATAGACGTATTAGAAAGGTTTTTATGCACGTCCATTTAATGTTGTGGTGGTCCAGTTGCGTCAAGAAGGGACTATTAATGTGGATAATTTCAATTTCATGGCACAGGACAATTCCATGGTCTTCTTTCTCGTTAGCTTGATAGTAAATGGAATAACTCAGAACTTCCTTTCCAAAATGTTGATGAAGATTCAATTTAATTTATACTCGTATAGTATATTATTGTTGTATGGTATCTAAATTACCTGGTATTTTACTTGCTTTAGAGCAAGTTTTCTACTTCTTCTACTTCTTGAATTTTCTGCATTCTGAACAACGCTCCATTTCTATGCATTGTTTACAGATAAGGTGCTTCAACCAGGGTGGAGGAGATGAGTGTGACTGCTTTGTAATATTTTGGAGATATCGTGTGACCATGTAGCTACACTGTTATTTAGTTTTTTGTGCAGGGGCTCCTCTGCTGTAAAAGATGATAATAAACTTGGCAAATCATATTTGTTTGTTACCATAAATCTTTGTATGTTGTCGTGGGTTGATGAGGTAATGAATAAATTTTCGAATTCTGTTTCACTTCTGATTAATCTAATGTAACTTCTGTGCTTTATACTTCATTCTTTGTTTTCCTGTTTGTCAACATTGTAAGCTGGACATGCTTTGTCTTTTGTACCTTTTGGAAAATTGCAGTGTTTCATCCGTCATCTCTTATCATATCTACTTTCAGTAATAGCTGGCTGCTCCATCTATAATAGAGAAGATGCACGCTTTACAGTAATAGAGGGTTGTACATCAAGAGTAGTACATAAACAAGTCAACTTTTGTTATTTATTCAATATGGGAATACATATCTGAAATGTGAGCATGTTTGGTCGTGCTTAAAAGTAGTTTAAAATGCCTACTTCTCAAGGGACTGATTAACTGTATACCGGACCATTGCCCCATTGTTGCGATCCAAAATCCAGGTAAGCTCACTTTTTTGTCTTGCCAAAACAATATCTTGTATGGTTCCATTAACATGTATACCTTGCATCATTGGCACCTCACCAAAATCATTAGTTGGGCATTTGGGGTTTAAAGAATTTATCCATGCAAGGAAATACTCCTCATAACCCCCAATCTCATGTCTCTACCACTTGATCTCTCCAGTGTCCATATCAAGGGCTAATATCGATTCCGAGTAATTATCAGGCTCAACGCATTCACATTGGACATTCCCAAGGTGAAGTCGAATTGTTCTGTCTTTCTTGGCATTCTAAAATGTGTGGAGGTGCCGAGTATAGCTTTCCAGTGGCAATGTAAACTAGCTTTCTTCGAGGATCAATTGGAGGGTTGCTTCCCCACAAGGCAGCTCCTGCATATTCTCCGGTCTTGTTTTGGTTGTCGGGCAACATCATGGTCTTCCACAAAACCTTACCTGTACAAACATCTAATTTGGCAAAGCTACCCCGAAATGTGCAGCAATTCTCGACATTTAAGCCTTCTTCAAGTGAAGATGTTCCAACATAAAATGCTCTGCGAAGGATGAACCTGACTTACACTTGTGTTGATAAAGCGGACTAAAAGGAAAAGGGAAGCTAAACTTACCCATTGTAATATGTACCAGACATCGCGATAACACTGGCAGGATGGCTGTCGAGCTGTGTAGACCAGAAGAGATCGCCCGTTTCTCGTTTGACAGCAAAAATGAAAGCTGGTCCATATGTTCCCACAATTAGTATATCACCCACAACTGTTGGAGTCGCTAAAGATACAGTCAAGTTCGTATTGAGAACGTGCCTCAATGTATCGGACTTGTGGCTGCAAGCAAGTCCATCCAGATTCTTTTTCCAAATAACAGAACCGCCATAAACTTTAATTGCATAGAGATATCCATCCCAGCTTGGATAATAAAGTGTTCCATTGAATATTGCTGGTGTTACTGTTGTTGCCCTTGTATCTTTCCCAGCATATGATTCCCATTTGAGACGTAGATTAGAAAGAGTCGAAGGGCTAATCTTCGTCTCTCCTTCTTCATATCTACGGTTATATGCATTCAAATGATATCTCCTTTTATGCAACTGGAATCAATCGCCATAAAAGTACCCAAGTCAGTGTGCAAATAGAGAGAGAGAGAGAGAGAGAGAGAGAGAGACTTACATCTGCACTAGAAGTAGTAGCAGGGATGGTCATGGTAAGGCAAACTAAAATGAAGAGATGAAGGAAAATACTACTGCTATTGGTCTTGTGGGATGCCATAGCAATGAAGTTTTATTAGCTGAATTAGTCTTCAACATAGGAAGTCTTCCTCTATTTCTTTAGTAAAAACCACTAATATTATTTTATATTCATAGTCGAAGTCAGATGACACAATTCTCCTCGATTTCTTGGGGTCGAAAGCTGATACCGTGTAAGTATTGTTGACTAACATAAGATGCGAATTGTTAAGTTTTAGTGTTGGCAATTTTGTGGACAAATGACTAATTTGTAACGTGATGTAAAAGTCAAAGACCTAGGGTGCAATTTGTATAAATTAGGTAAGTTAAGGTTTGAGTCCTTGAAGGAGTCCAAGATGTCCAAGAAGATCGCATATGATAAAGAGAATGCAATTAGAAGTCTAAAGAGTATCAAAGAGTCGCACAAGTTATGTTCCAAATTCTCAGTCGTCACTTGCAATGCATTTTTCACATAGGAAAAAAATTGAAATTTGGATATGGCTATTTATAGATGAATTGTATCCCTTTGAGTTAGCTTCCCAACGAAATTTGAATCATTGCAATCAGACATCGGTAGAGAAAGTTATGATTAAAATACTGACGATTGCTCAACCCTTGCTCGACATTTGCTAGAGGCTCGCTCGAGCGACCTACCTGTGCGGTCAACCCTTGCTCGATTTTGGAGAGTTTTACACGGCCCATACTGCTCAAACACCTCCAACTATAAATACAAAGGCTTTGGAAGACTTTTGTAAAGTTGCTTCATTGTGCTTCATAGATGTAACACTTTCATATCATTGTTTGAGAGATCCAAGAGACAATTTACTGATTCATCCATATTCATTCTTGAGATCCAGCAACCCGATTTTGGAAAACATCAAAGGTTCCATAATCCAAAACACCGGCGTCCTTAATCTTTTAAGGAACTGACTGCTTCATTGAGATTTGGAAGAAGTGAACTACAAGCATAGGAAGAGCACAAGAATTGGAGATTCTTGAAATTCCACTTGGAAGAGACAATACAAGAAGATTAGGAAGTTGGAACGAGATAGCGGATCAGGAGGCTACAGGAGGTAAAACGGGAAGTCTAGCAGGGTGGCTAGATAGTATCTACGGTAGCAGGTCATGAGTCTGGAAGGAACAACAGATCTTGGAGATTGCAGGAATTACAACAGCGGAAACAAGTGAAATTTGTTAGCTGGAAACATACTGTAATCCATATTGTCTATAGTGGAGGTAACTGACTTGGTCGTTTTTGAACCTTCGAATATTCACTCAACAACGTTGATCATACGCAAATAATTCAATGTAAAGCCATAACCACATGTCTGTCATTCAAACAGATGATTCTTTGATTAAGAAACAGATTATCATAATCAATTACTATTCGATGTATTTAACCAGAAAGAGCGCAGCATTAAACGGGTGTCCAGTCCAATAATGTTTTCTATTATATTATTTTGCTCTGTCAAACTGAAGTTTTGAGATCCGAAACTTGATTAAATCGTTGTCCCCAACACATAAACTATAAGTTGAAAAGTTGTAATCTTGGACAGCTATTTGATCAAAAAATTGTTAGTAAAAATAATTGTAAAACAGCCTATTGGTTTAATACATACTTCTTCATATATACAATATTTGAATACCTTACGAAATCTGTCACAAAAGACTCCAAAGACTTGCTCCTTTAACTTGAGAGTAGTAAAGGGATAATCCTAAGAGAAGCTTTTAGAGGGAATAGGGAAGAATTTCTTATGTAATTAACATAACGAGAAAATTATCCACTCTTATGAGACTAGTTCAGATTAGCCTACAACTTACGGTGAAAAACCCTTGATAATAATGTTCAAGGACAATGTTATTTGTTATCATCAGTGTTTCGATCTTTTATTAGGGTATCTCTTTTCTTGAAACAAGGGGATTTTATTTGGATATGAAGTACTGTATTTCAATAAGGAACTAGCTTGCAAGACATGCTTTGTTCTTTATAACAAGATTTAAGCACATGGAAATTAAAATCTCACTCTATCAAATAGGCATAGAGTGAAGTTTCTGCAGTGAAGGATGGAATTGTTGCTCCCAATCCTACTTTATATCCATTCCGTAAACATAAACAATCTTTGCACACTGATACACCACCATATATGGTGGCCCCAGTTTCATTTGATCATAAAATTTTCACTGTTTTGGCATCAATAGCATAAAGGGTCCAATTTCTATCATATCGAGTCCAGATCTGTTGTCACAAAGTTATTGTCCCGCCAATACATTTTTGACACATCGACACTTCACTTTTTCATAGCAAACTGGAAGATGTCAACACTATTTTTGATATCTCGGCACATTACACCTTAGTATTATCCTAATTTCTATGCAGAGGTAATGTGCTGAAGTGTAAAAAATGGATTGGTAGGAGAACATGGAGACAATCTGGCCTATGAGGTACCTCATAAACATTTGTTATTTTTTCATAATCTTGCAAAGTTTGTGTCAAATCGCCTGTTAGTCATGGACTAGGCTGATTTTATAAAACAAGTTCTCCAAGTTTCATAAGTTTCCGAATATATGAGAATGTTTGAAAAGTATTTATAAATAGTTAAATTACAAAATAAATAGAAAATAATGATGGATGGGAGGGTAGTACTTGTAGGTCCTTTAAAATGTGTGGATGGAAAGTAATTTGAATGTTTATAAACATGAGCCAATTAATTCCTTTATCACTCTTATCAACCTTCTACAAGAAAAAAGGGATAAATTGATCTTCTCCTTAGGAATATGATAAAATCATCTTGTGATTTTCATATTGTGCAATTGTATGGAATTATTTCCATTGAATTAGGAAATTTTCAGATAATATTTGATGCTCATGATTAGTTACAAACTTGCTTATTTTTTTAGTGTCTAATTTTACATGTCAAATTTGTCATAATTGTTGAGAATTTGACTCCATTATTCATCATTCCAACCGAAAGCATGGCCCTAGGTGCACTTTTGATGTTCTTATCATTTAGAAATGCCTATTCATTTTCCAATACAAACTACGCCAAAAATGGAAATCCAATCTTCTTTCTTTAAAATTTATCTTTCCATTTGTCATAGAAAATGCAGGCTAAAGTGATCTATAGGATCAAGCATCTTTGCAACTTGTGGCACTTTAATGAATGCCCACTTATTCAAAATTTTAGGTTTTCAATTCAATATTTAAATCTGTTCTGAATTTGCCCATCACTAGTACCAGAATGAAAAAAAATAAAATATTATGGTCGTCTGCATTATTGCATCTTAGAAGTCAAAACAACTGGCCACTTGTTGACTATGATAATCCATTTAAACAAACTAGTTTAATTGTCTGTTTGTCATTATCCCAAGACACCCCAGCTAGCTCATCACTGGCTTATTTTAATGAAATTATTCCTTTTGTTTTTCTTGTGGATTATATAGCTTATAACAAACATTTCGGAAACTTGTAAGTGGCACTGTTCTTAAACCAGAAAATATGTCCAAGTTTTTCACATTCTTCTGTTTCATCATTTTGGCACTTGGGAATCTTGCCCATGTCTCATCAGCTCATAAGCTTGGGGTTTTTGAGCTCAAGCAAGATGATTTTTCTATAACGGTTACAAATTATGGTGCAAGAATTGTCTCTGTTATTTTACCTGACAAGAATGGTAAGTTTTTCTTTTGGTTTAGTTTTTTGATCTTTGTTTTACTTTGTTTCTGATGAAATCGTGTTTTTATTGAGTTTTTTAGGGAAATCAGCTGATGTTGTTCTTGGTTATGACACGATTAAAGGTTACATGGTATGTTTTCTTCTTCACTGCATGTGATTTTCTCTTAGATTGAAAACTGATTCATTTTTGCCCAGAATAAGCAATTCCCAGTAAGAAATGGAACAATGAAAGCAAAAGAAAACCAATTTTTTGACAATTACTAAGAATGTGAAACAAGACGGCAAAAAATAAAAAAATGGAAAAAACAATGGAGAAGGCACAACAAACAAAATGAGTAAATTAGCTCTTAGATTTTTCTTATTCATGAACAAAGAACAAGTTGCAGGCTCTGATATTTTGTCATCAAGTCTTACTAATTGACTTGCAAGTCTACTTTATCCACAATAGGGTCCCACGCTCATTTTAACTTTAAAGGATAATCTAAGATTTCTAAATTTGAAAGCTTATTGCTTAATCTTTTTTCAGAACATTTGGATCCAACCAGTTCTAAAATTGAGAACTTCAGTGGAGTCATTTGGTATTGGATATTGACCATTGTTTATTTGATGATTATGGTAAAGTTGTGTAGATTAAGTACTCCATAACTGTTTCTGTAATGCATGTTATGAATTATGATTGACGACAGAATGATACAAGTTATATTGGAGCAATTGTTGGACGGGTTGCTAACCGCATTGGTGGTGCTGAGTTTACTCTAAACGGAACCCATTATAAGCTTGACGCTAACGAGGGGACCAGCATGCTTCATGGTACTCAAATTTGTTTGCTACATTATTTTGCTTCATATGCTGTTTGTCCTCTTTAATTAGTCTTTTCTTCCTCAATTTTCAAGTGTTTTTAATGTTAACACAGGTGGGAAGAAGGGATTTAGCCAAGTTATTTGGAAGGTGATAAAACATGAAAAAAATGGTCCATCTCCACATATTACCTTATCCTATCACAGTGCTGATGGCGAAGAAGGTAAGCATTATATGATACCCTCAAATTGTTTGGTGGTGAATGATGATTTCAACTACTTCTTGTGCTTGTGCGCGTATAAATTTTCATATATGGACAGACTCCTACACTGTATATAGGAGTCGGGGGGAGTAGAGGGTATGTGGTTGTGTTGTTTTAGAGGCATTGGATCTCCGTTCTGAAATTTTCCAAAAATCAGCATCTAGACATAACTCTCCAATCAAGGGTGAACCACTATAAATACGTGTGTTTATACTTTTTGTTTTGTTCATTAGTACTCGGGTTTGGGATTAGGTTAAAACTATAACGTACTGAACTGGAATATCTGATGTATTGTTTCTAAAATCTCGATTCCTTGTATCTGGAACAGGGTTTCCGGGTGCTGTTGTGGTCTTTGTAACCTATACGCTTTCTAAACGGTACAAATTAAGCATAACAATGAAGGCAAAGGCTAAAAACAAGGCCACTCCGGTGAGCCTTGCCCAACATAGCTACTGGAATCTTGGTGGTCATGACAGTGGTGATATTCTGTCGGATGAGCTCCAGATATTTGCATCACACATCACACCTGTGGATAAAAAGCTAATCCCGAATGGTGAAATCATATCAGTTAAGAAGACACCATATGATTTCCTCTCACCACACGTTATCAGAACCCAGATAAAAGAACTTCCCAATGGTTCCAAGGGTTATGATATCAATTATGTCCTTAACGGTTACAAGATGAAAAAGATGAAGCCAGTAGCTGTAGTTTATAACAAGAAGTCCGGACGAGTGATGAAATTATCGTCAAATGCCCCTGGTGTGCAGTTGTACACGGGTAACTACATTAAAGACGTGAAGGGGAAAGGCGGATATGTTTATCAAGCTCATGCAGCCTTATGTTTAGAGACTCAAGGGTTCCCGGACTCAGTGAATCACCCAAACTTCCCCTCACAGATTGTTACTCCGGGGAAGCCTTACGAACATTATATGTTATTCAAATTTTCATCCAAGAAAGATTAGGAGCTTGGCATTGTCTGCTTTTTATGATTGACTTGAAAAAACTAACATTATTCCTATCCAAATTGGATGGCTTCCAGGTAAACATATGCTGTTTTCTCTATGTTAATTGTTCTGTCAGACTTAGGTTCCCATCGTACGTGAATGAGATCCAAAATTTGATTAAATTGTTGTTCCCAACCCATAAAATCATACGAGTTTACAAGTTAAAGGTAGTAATTTTGTGACTACTATTTTCTCTGCGTTTTGAGCACGAATCCACTTTGCACACAAGGCTAACATCCATGTATAACTAAAATGTTGGTCTAATCACACTCTTCGTAAATGTGTTATAATCAATATTTTGAAAGCTGGCTTCGGCATCATTAAACTTCAAGGTGATCATTCTGTCCTTGTTAGTTTGATCAACGAAGAAATAGCACAGAAGCTAATAACTAGACTACTTCGCAAGTTGAGATCTACTCTCCATTTGACTGTCCCGTCATTAAAATTTTGATGTGTCGCTGCATTGATTCTTGCTAGCAAATTGCAAGATGCCACACAATACATTATTAGTAGTGGGACAGAATTGAAGACAAACAAATGGGAGCAATGCTATGGAAGCTAATTGATCATGCATCCCGATTGAAAAGAAAGAATTGAAATTGATCGATATACTTCTAGAAACAAATAGGAAAAAAAAGAGAGAATAATAAACATAAATTTATGTATCAACTTAGGGACATTCATAAACATTATAGGATAGCATAATCTAATGATTTTCCGATTAAAGAGAATCACCAACGGGCAACGTCAGTAATGCACTGTTCACTCTAAACGAAACTATACACCTCAATGCTCATGAAAAGAACAGCACTCTCCATGGTACTCTATTGTTGTCTGTTACAATTATATTTCTGCGTATTTTCCTCGTACTCTGCAAAGAGTTAGCCAAAGTTCGACTTTGTTTACTATGATTAGTTCTTGAATGTTGTAATGTGAATGCGGGTGGGGTAAAGGGATTTAGCCAAGTTATTTGGAAGTTGGAAAGAGTATGAGAATTGTGGTCGATCTCCTCACATTACCTTATCCCATCAGAGTTGACACTCCCTCTAGAAGAATACTGCTTACAAATTTACACATCGTATATATCATATCTATGGCCTCGAACTGAGAGTGAACAAAGACGTCTTACCATGTATTAGCCCTTAGCTCATTGAATTAAAATGTCAGTGAAGAACTTCAAGTTTCCTCCAAGATCTTGCTCCAGAAAGTACTGCCAAAAAGGCAAAAAAGTGACTGTGTGAATCTAAACCTTCAATCAGTTGCTAAAAGTTACAGTAATTAATATGTAAACGCTGATATCTTGGCAATATGGGTAATGATACTGTTATATGATGTTCACTTGTATCTCTGCCATTCAACAAATGTTGTGATCACATGACACAAAAGCTAATGCAATTAAAGAATGATATTATGATTATAGATACATATTTTTGATAGATTAATTGGATTTAGTTACACGGGTTAATAAGAAAAATAGCTACCATTTCTAGGAAGCGATTCAATAATCAGATCTTCAAGAATCCATTTTTGATCTTTCATTCCATTTCCAGGTAAAGCCTTTTGAATAATCGTTTCTTTCTCTTGTTTGAGACAAGTTGTGAAGCGAAAAGAGTATTCCATGAGATGGAAAATGAAAAATATTAGTCCCACACAATGTTTGCAGGTGATTGTTTGATAATGAGTAAGGAATACCCATCTTTCTACTAAACAAGATGTATTGAACTCATATTGCAATAGATATTTTTTAGACATGTCATCAATCGAAGAGTTCATGTCACTTAACCTAGCAAAGGGGAAAGAGACGATGGCAACTCACCTCATATAAGAGGGATAAAAACCTTGAATGTATATCCCCAATGCGAAGAAGTTTTTTTCCAATTCCAAAAAGTCAAAGCCACTATTCTTCAGTGATGAGCGATTGAGCTCTTGCAAATAGATCTTATGCATTCTTCCTAGAAAGAAATATATTTTCACTAGAACAAGTTCGATGCGAGCTGAACAACTAGAATTATATATTATCTTTGTTGAGCCAATTGCACCTTCTCCCTAGAATAAGGTGATAAACAAAAGTTTATAGTCCGATTCTACTCGATAATAAATATCGGGGCTTCGTATAGTAATGTACCTAGCTTTCATCCTATTTGAGACCAAGGCAAGTTTGGACCCATGTCCTATCTCCTTTATCAAATCCCTAGCTCTTAATGTAATTAACCAATCAACAAAATTGCTTGTCACAAATAACTAAAGAAGATGATCAACCATACTGGAATTGAGAAACGCCTCAATCTCCTCGGGAGACAGCATTAGGAATTTTTTCACAATGGAAGAAAGCTTACAGAGCAATGCTGCGTGGGTCCAATGAAACAATTGATCCACCAATATGATTAGACTTGGGGGTGTATTCAATTGAAACTTTTAATAACTTTTTGGGATTTAAAAAGTTTAGGGGCATTCAATGTAGACTTTTGGAGACTCTCTAAAAGTCACGGTGTATTCAATTAAAACTTTTTATTAGTCTCTATTAGTCTTGGAGTATTTAAATTTTTATGACTTTTATAAACTCTTATAAAAGTCCCAATTGTACTAATTTTTAAGCAGAAAGTACTAAAATAAAATTTCAAAATTTCTCTTTCATTAATCACAAAATTTTGGGAGACTTTCACATAAAACAAAAAAGAAATTAATATGTATTTTTTTCAATATTTCTCTTTCATTTTTCCTTCTATGAATATTAAAGTTATGATTAAAATTTATTTTTTTCTATTGATTATATTAGTTTCTATTTTTCTTTTTCTCTCTCTTATAGTTTATGTATATTTTCTATGAAAGAATTAAATTATATTCTTATAAAAAAATTTCTTTTTTTATTCATTTTTTCTAAATTTTTTTTATTTTTAATTAAATTATAAAATTTTATATAAACTAATTTATAATTAAATTTAAATATATAT